AGAAGTGGACCCCGGGCCAGGGGTTTGGGCCCCACAATTTTTGTGTCTTTTTTTCATTCCAGAACATGCAGTTGTACTGGTGTCACATCCTGAACTTTTTAAAATTTTATAAGAAAAAAAAATGACTGTCCTTAGATAGTACGCTTTTTTTTTTCCAGAATAGTAGTTGTACTAGTGTCACATCCTGAACTTTTTTAAATTTTATAAGGAAAAAAATGACTGTCCTTAGATAGTACGCCTGACGTAACACCAAAAAATAAGCTGAATGTGACGGGAAACATTAAAGTTGCATTCACTGCCATTAATGAGAAGCAGAAATGTTGAAAAGAACAGTGGCGCAAGTGAGAGAAATTCCTCAGCTTTGCCAGAGGGGGAGCAGTGAGATCTGCTGGAGGAGTCGCTGCATTGTTCTGCCAACGCCATGAACATATTGTGGCCATCAGCAGAGAGAAGTGTCTCCAGCTCGGTGGCAGATGGCGGCGGCAGCAGCGACGACTTAGACTGGCGCTGAAACTGTCTGGTGACGGACCCTCCGGGTTTTTTTGATAGTACGCCTGACGTAACACCAAAAAATAAGCTGAATGTGACGGGAAACATTAAAGTTGCATTCACTGCCATTAATGAGAAGCAGAAATGTTGAAAAGAACAGTGGCGCAAGTGAGAGAAATTCCTCAGCTTTGCCAGAGGGGGAGCAGTGAGATCTGCTGGAGGAGTCGCTGCATTGTTCTGCCAACGCCATGAACATATTGTGGCCATCAGCAGAGAGAAGTGTCTCCAGCTCGGTGGCAGATGGCGGCGGCAGCAGCGACGACTGAGTCTGGCACTGAATCTGTCTGATGACGGACCGTCTGGATTATTGATCTGCTTTTTTTAAATTTATTGACACCAAAAATACTCTCGCTGTCGTGGCGATACCTGGAGGACTTGGACTTCACTAAGGAGTTCTTCATCTTCACTGGTCGTCTCGAGGCCACTCTATTATAGAACATACGGCAGAATCACAGAACTCCAGACTGATGGGTTTGTTTCAGTGGAGTTTCCATCTGAGAATCAATTCTTTGTCGAATTCTTGAGGACGTCTTTGACGCCAGGTCACGACCTGAGGCTGACGTCCAGTTCTTTTAAGTTTGAGCTAAAGACAAAACAAATATTCAGCAGAGCAGAGCTTGATTATATTAACCAGTATTAATTAACACTTGGTCAAAAGTTTGATTTTGAATCTGATTTAAAAAATGTTCAATTTCGGGGCTGATGTGAAAAAAAAAATTTAAAAAAGTTAAGACCTCACTACAGCTCAACTCTTGACGAGACGTCGGTCTCTGAACTTTAATGATGCCCCCTGGTGTTACACTTGGTGGTCCTTATTTTTTGGACCTGTACCAAAGGAATCTTTTAACTTTTTTGTAATTTAGTGACGGAACATTGACAACTAGAAAAGGTTTTTTCTGCACCAGGCTGCTGTGACTTCATGAAGACAAATTACTTTGGCCGTTTCCTCAGCTTTGTTAGTGTAGCCAAGTGACAGCCGTATAAAAACTGTGACCACGTGAGAAATCAACCCCAGAGGGCGCCCATTCATTCATTCACTTCACTTTAAGTCCAAATCCACTGAGAGGTCTTCGGGGGGGTTGGGGGGGGTCATTTGTCTTCCCGCTGCAGTGCTCAGCGTCCCGCTGTTACTGTTCCTGCAGCTCTGAGCTTAATGAACGTCTCCTCATCGCTTTTGGCACCAAGGCGCCGTAATTTATTCGCCGCTCTCGCCATCACTCATTGGGCTGAGCGCGTCCACGGGTGTTACCTTGGCGAGTCAATGAAGACGGAAGTGAATTAGTCTCTGTCAGATGACGTCGAATGTAAAGGTGCGAACATATAATCAATCTTCTGAAAAAAGAGTGTGTGTGTGTGTGTGTGTGTGTGTGTGAGCACACACTGGGTTAGTGTTGATCAACTTCATCTTTTGATTTTGATTTTTTTTTCTGTATTTTTTCCATTGTTTTTTTTTTTTTTTTTTTTTGAATATCTCACCGCTGCGCACAGATGATTGAAATGTAATGACTGAAATGATTGGCATTTCAATAAAGTCTGACAGAGGAGGGATATGAGCCGCAGCCACAGAGAAGATTCATTGAACTCATTACTGAGGAAAAATGGTCGTAAATTGCTAAAAAAAAAAAAAATAGCAGGAAAAGTCTCGAGTTTTATTGATGTGGAACTCTCCATCAAAAGTCGAACAATATTGGCTCTAAACAAGACGTTAACTGAAAATTTAGGGGCCGTCTAATTAACATTTTAATTGTTGATTAATTGATTTGTGAAGATTAAATGTTTTTTTTTACTGTTTCTACATCTGAATTATCTGGATTAATTGAGTCAATGCTTAATTACAGTCATGATTTAAATGACTAATCGTGATTAATCGACAGCTACGACGCTATTACGTAATCAGATAAAAAAAAAGTTTCTATTTGACGGGTTTAGATGTTGGTAAAAATACATTTTATATTAAATGGGTTTAAATGAACTTTTAAAAAGTAAAAAAAAATAATAATAACTGAGATGTGGAAAAGACTGGCTGTGAAAGTAGAAGAAAAGTAAAGTCCTCCAGTGAGACGACGATGATGATGATGATGATGATGATGTGTTCAAAAGCTGTCATTACTTCACTGTCAATTATAGCCTCAGCTCCGTGACCGGTTCAGAATAATCAGAATATCCTTTGTTCCACACAGTCCCTGAACAAATGAGTCAAGAGCAGCAGCAGCAGCAGCAGCAACAACAGCAGCAGCAACAGCAGCAGCAGGAACAGCAGCAGTAACAGCAGCAACAGTAACAGCAGCAACAGCAGCAGGAACAGCAGCAGCAGCAACAGCAGCAGTAACAGCAGCAACAGCAACAACAGCAGCAGTAACAGCAGCAGCAACAGCAGTAACAACAGCAGCAGCAGCAACAGCAGCAGTAACAGCAGCAACAGTAACAGCAGTAACAGTAACAACAGTAGCAGCAGCAGCAGCAGCAACAACAGCAGCAGCAACAGCAGCAGCAGTAGCAGCAGCAGCAGTAACAGCAGTAGCAGTAACAGCAGCAGTAACAGTAGCAGCAGTAACAGCAGCAACAGTAACAGCAGTAACAGTAACAACAGTAACAGCAGCAGCAGGAACAGCAGCAGTAACAGCAGCAGCAACCGCAGCAGCAACAGCAGCAGCAACAGCAGCAGCAGAAACAGCAGCAGTACCAGCAGCAGTAACAGCAGCAGGAACAGCAGCAGTGACAGCAGCAGCAACAGCAGCAGCAACAGTAGCAACAGTAACAGCAGCAACAGCAGCAGGAACAGCAGCAGTAACAGCAGCAGTGACAGCAGTAACAGCAGTAACAGTAACAACAGTAACAGCAGCAGCAGCAGTAACAGCAGCAACAGCAGCAGCAGCAGTAACAGCAGTAACCCTCCAACTTTCTGCTCCGTCTCCGTATCTTTATTCTCACTCTATTTTTGCTCGAACCTCTTTTTGTTTCCCTCCCATAGTTTGGGAAACGTAGTCCTAGTGTCTTAACTGGAATAACAAATGTTATTGTTCCAGGAAATATGAGTTGGTGATAATAGATAATGGATGAGGGCCGTGTGTGAAGGTGGAAAGAACAAAGAAATAAAAAAAATACCGAAACCATTTGTTTACCTACTGGTTTTGTAACTGATCGATATAAGAATTAATGGAAGAATGCCTTTCAATTTAACAACTGCATGCTCCCAGAAATGGACTGTTTTATTCTGTGTTGTTTTGCTCTTACATTATGCAGAACAGTTCTGTAGAACGTGCTTTTTGTTTTTTGCCTTCAGGCGACGTAAGCAGCCAGCATTTAAATGAAACAACTGATAAGAAGTAAAAAAAAAAAGAAAAAAAATCCTCATCCAAACGTTGCCTTTCATTCATGTCTTTTTATCGCCATGTATTGAATGTTTTATCACAAAATCCACATCAGGCAGAGGAAACAACATGCTAATTTAATTTAACAATCGTTTTCTCTCAGTGTCGTCCTCGCCGTCAGGATCATGCCTCCGGTGGCCGCTGGGGTGAAGTTCAGGACTACAACCAGTAAATGAAGAAACAGTGGAGAGAAGAAAGTGGGAAAAACTGTTTTATATTTGAAGCAGAAACCGCTGTTCGTTCTAACGTGTGTTTCTGCTGCGGCGTTAGCTCCGCTGTCACGTCCACAGGTTCCTCAACTTAAAGTCTGAAGTTTTTAACCCCAGTACAGTGAAACGCGCCGCTGATTTCCTTAAGAAGCAGACAGGAAGTGGGTTAGCGGTGGACGGCGTCGCAGCGGTGTATGAACAGGACACATTAGAGATTAATTGGTGTCGTTTCTCGCGTTGTTACCGAGCTGTGGGAGAGCGATTCATCACACCTGCACGCAGCCCAGGCCGGAAAAATGGGAAGAGAAGCCTCTGCTGCAACGAGGAGATGAGGAGAGTGGGAGGGGTTGGAGGGGGGGGGCAGCACTAAGTCACTTTCCCAGAATACCCTGCAGTGAGCCATTCTGGATGGCAGGAAAAATGTCTGTGTCCGACCGAACACCGCCGTGCTCTGATGCACCTGTAGAACCTAATGGGTTTTAAAGCACCGTCTCTGCCTCTGCAGACCGACGCGGGTGAAGTCGACGGTCGGATCTGTCTCGGCTCTAACCCTGACCACGGGTAAACCGCTGCAACACAAAGAAGAAAAAGAACAGAAAGAAAGAAAACCTCACGGTGGCTGTTTGCCTGGCAGCTCTTATTCACCTCCATTTACAAATACCACACAGCTGAGCCCAGTGCATGATGGGATTGATGTGCTCATCTCTGGGTTTCATAGTCAGACTGGATTTTTATGGAGCAACGCCTGAAACTCCATCGCTGCGTCGCTGAAGTGGTGAAATCCAGCTTGTACACACACACACACACACACACACCTACACACACACACACTCACACACACACACCTGGAGCAGTACTTGTGCTCCTTGGGCACAAAATTGGTCATATAATGTTAAAGAGCTCTGTGCAGTGTTGTGTTTAACAGCTTCAGGTCCGGGGTTTAGATTTCTGTCTGTGTGACATTTGAAAGGTCACCCCCCGGTGGTTTGGAAAAGAATGGCCATTTCACAGAGCGTCCGCTCAGATCTTTGGTTTGTTCTGCTCGGGCGGCGTTTATGATGATTGTTTAATTGTGTTCTGGAGGAGGAGGAGGAGGAGGAGGAGGTGTCCTCTCTCTCTCTCTCTCTCTCTCTCTCGCCCACTGTCTGAGAGTCAACACTCTGCTGTAAACAAATGCTCTCAGTTTTCTCCACTCACCTGTGTTCTCTCCGTCTCCGTCGTCCTGACGGTCGGTGAGAGAGCCGTGGTGGCTGAGTCAAGAACAGCAGTTGGTGACATGTTGGTGACAACATAGTCAAAATATAAAAGCCATGGTGTGGACAATATATGGGGCGGGGGCTAAAACGTGTTCGTCTCTTCACTTGACCAGTAGTACCAGTACACAATATGTACCGAGTTCTCTTGGAGTTAAAATAGTTGGTCAGAATCAACACTGATTCTGTGTATTTTTGTTAAATCTCGTCAGAATTAAGTACCACGTTATGTCCTCATAGTGTGTCCCACTTGGTCTTTAGTCATTACTTCGTCCCACATGTGATCATCCAGACGTGGTTCTGGTTCAGTGACGTCTTGAAGCAGCTCCTTGTCAACGTTGTTCTCTTTCAACTATTGTTTTTTCTTTTTTGCCCCAATGTTTTTATTTCCCACGTGTCCGTCTCTCATCCTCTCGCTCACACTCAACCCAAATCTTACTTCATTTGACAGTCCAAGAACACGAGACGATTCCCATCACGGTTAGGAATCACTTCAGTGAAGGTTCATTTATTCTTTCTTTCTGGCGTTCTTCGCTGGAACTCTCTGTGTTTACCTGTCGTCTCTGGAACCGACTGTGACGCCGGCGGTTTTCACAGACCTCTAACTGTGGAAATCCTAACTTTTACTCTGGTTTCTCTTCATCCGTAGAATATCCTGGGCCTCGGCCAGACGTGGTCACACGGAAGAACCAAAAGACACCTGCTGGTCCCCCCCATGATCGTCACCGAGAACCAGAGAGCTCCCTTCCCACGGATCATCGGCAAGGTGAGATACGACTTCATCGCCTGCTCACACAGCAGTGTGTGATGTCACGGTGCGGTTGTAGAACGCGTATCGATCACGAGGCAGACGTCACGTTCTCAGAGACTCCTAATCATTTTACCTTTAATAATGTGAGGACGGGAGGATTTTCCGCCGAGCTAACGACGTCTCTGTGACAGCCTGCAGTTATTGTGCTCTAATAACTGTAATAACACTCTGGGAGGACGGGAAATTGACAGGCTGGATTTAATTTAAACTTGTTTGATTTCATAAAATGTCGCAGTGATTTAGGAAACAAAAGAAAATTGACGTCAGAGTTGTTTTGGCCAGTAAATAAATTTATAAACAATCACTGTGGGGAGCGTGGACGTCACCAAGTCAAACCAAACCAAGAAATACAGCGATATCACCACCACCACCTCCACCACCTCCACCACCTCCACCCATGTTGACCTCATTTATCTGCCTAGCTGTATCCTCTCTACCAATGTTTCCCAACCTTTTCTGAGCCACGGGACATATTTAAACCAAAAAAAGTCTCTGTAATGAAATATAATAAACTTGTAGTTTAAATGACCTCATCATTGACTAAAATCTCAGCCTGTTTAGTTGAAGACGACGCTGATATACTGGCAGGAATTGAAGAAAGACACTCACAAAGATCAGATTTTTTATTTTAGTTTTTAGTTTTCATAGCCATCTGCTGCCCCCTAGCAGAAGAGTATTTAATTGTTCTGCCTTTCATGCTTTGATGAACAAAGATAAATAATAGTTTTCAGCCCAATTGAGTGAAATTGGGTAATCCCCCCCCCCATCTGACAGAGTAATTCATCTGACAGAGACTTTTTTTTTTTTTTAAATTTCAAGCTCATATAGATTTTTTTACCTAATGAGAGATGAGATACGACATTGATTTAAGAAGAAACAGTTTGAGCCATGAGTTTATGGAAAGTTTGTAGAAAAATAAAATCCAAACTGTCCACGAGAAATGTATAAATTAACCACAAACTTTAACGTTGATTTGTGAGAAAATTGTCAGAAAAGTGCAGTAATTACTGAGGTTGCACTTGGTGTCAGTTTGATGCCTAATTAGGTGATTTGAAATTAAAAAAAAAAAACTAGAAAAGTTGTGTAAAATAATTGGCAGGGTCCAGTTTCTGGGTCATGACCTTTTAACAAGAAAAACATTTCTAAGTCCTGGGTGTTTTATTTTGATATCTTTATTATTATCTTATTATAGATCATAGTAAGTCTGGAATCTAACCCACAACCCTCTGGGTCGCAACGACAACGTGACAACAAGTCACAGACAGGTGTGACAATGACAGGAAACGGAGTAAAAAAAACAGCACCTCCTAATGGCACCTCCTAACACCATACTGACAGAGAGCAGCCGGGGGAGTAACTGACTGATTGACTGACTGACTGACTGACTGACCAACCAACCGACTGACCGACTGACTGACTGACTGACTGACTGACTGACTGATTGACCGACCGGCCGACCAACTGACTGACTGACTGACCGACTGACTGACTGACTGACTGCCTGCCTGACTGACCGACCGACCGACTGACCGACTGACTGACTGCCTGATTGACTGACTGACTGACTGGCCGACTGACCGACTGACTGACCGACCGACCGACTGACTGACCGACTGACCGACTGACTCACTGACTGACTGACTGACCGTGGGCACCGACACAAACACCAACCTCCAAAAACCTTTCCTCTGCTTCTCTCCACTCTTGGATTTATTGCTCTGAGGCCAAAAGTCTCAAGTTACCAAATTCCCTGAGTAAGAAGTGCAGAAATAATTATCGTGTTGTGGCGACGGCGAGTAGAAATGTTTCGGAACGCACAAAAAGTATCAAAGGACAAAAGGAGGTAAAAAAAAAAAAATCAGTCCCATGATTTATTTTCCACGACAACGTATGGACTGTTATTTACAGCGGGACACAGAAGGAGACGAAATGTGTCCTTACAAAATAAAATGCCTGCAGATCACACAACTGCCACCGGGCTGCAAATCAAACGTCCGTCCTCAGATGCCCTGGAAGAGTGAACTTGAAGTCTGAACATTTTGGATTTTAATGAAAAATCTTAACTTTATCACCTGAATAAATAACCTGAGCGTGTGTGTACTGGAATATAAACCACAGGCCAGGATTGGACGGTTCATTGGGCTGGATTGGGCCCGTGAGCCACCAGTTGATAATCACTATAGTTGCAGTACCAACTATATGCACAGTAAAAACAAAACCTTTGTCCAAATCCAAGTCTTGACAATTAAACCTTAGAGGCCTGACAGATTTTTTTTTTTTTTTCCTGGGTTGAAGAAAATGATTTACGGCCGTGCAGGTTGGTGGTAAAATCTGGATAAAGGACTCCTCCAGGTGTGGAACGGGTCCATTTTTGAAGGGCTTTTATTCCACAACTCTGGTCCACATGTGACTGCTGACTGATGTGAAGGATACAGACCCCGACCACAGCACGAAGCCCACACCTTCACCGAGGTCTGAGAGGTCTCGATGGAGACGTCGTTTTGACCGTGGTTACAGCGAGCGTTTGTGCTCGGGTTTGGACGTAAAGGTAATACTTCAGAGTAATTCACCCAGGCGTCTGTGCTGAATTTCCCACCCAGCAGTTACTCGCAGGAAGATAAGGGAGAAAAAAAACTGTGTTCCATAAGAGACAGGACATGATCTCCACGGTGTTCTGAGGATCTGCTCTGCAGCGTCATCTCTCTGATACAACCAGGTGCATTCATGTGACAAATTGGAAGCACGATGCCTAAACGACGTGGACTATTTTTCATTCTCTCTCCGTTGTAGTCGCTCATTCTGCCTTCCTCTGTTTCCCATTCTACCTTTCCTTCCCACTTTCCAGTTGGGAATTCCACCCAGCTCATCGTCTCACGGCCGTATCACTCCATCTGTCTCCACGGTCACGTCTGCCTGAGAAGACAGGCTAATGTGGGCTAGTTTAGCCAGTTGGGGGGGCTACGTGTTGACGACTTGCCGAAATTGATTTTCCACACCAACGGCTTTTCTCCTCTTATGCAACATACGTCTTCCCGTACGGCGGCGTTTCCATTTTTTTCTGCTCCCGTCCTCGCCGTGGGAGATAACCCGTTGGTGAGATGGGATTCTCTGTGCTGTTGTGACACGACTGTGCGTGGGTGTGGGTGGGTGGGCTGTCAGGGGGGAGTCACAGGAGGAGGGTTAGAACCTTGTTGTTTATGTCACACCTTCTATCTGTGGAATAGATACAGAGACCCCCCCCCCGCCCCACCCACCCCCCCCCCCCCACCCCCCCCCCCCACCCCTCCCCCTCCCCCTAACCCTAACCCTACCCAAACCCTAACCCTAACCCTAACCCTAACCCTAACCCTAACCAAACCCT